AGGGGGAGCACTTCCCGGAGGAGAGATCATCGATCATCGCGAAGCCTCGCGTCGAGTCGGTATTGCGCGTGGTGGTATCTCCATCTCTGTGGAGCGCGAATATTGTATCTCCCGCAAATGCATGCCGACTTAATTCCGGAATAAATTCGCAGCCGCCGTTGGAACACGTTCGCTCCGCTGTCGCGATGACCACACGGGGAAAATATTGTAGTAAAAATTGCGTTAAAACTATACACGCCTTTCTCTTGCAGTTTTTCTGCGAAACTCGATTATACCGATATTGTAGTACGAATTAGAAACGAAGAAATAATAAACAAACGTGGATATAGTAAGATTGCAAAAGTTTCGTTGCAATTTTTGTCACAATATTTCCACCCTGTACGCGCAGAGATCTTTTCTCGAAATTAACATCCGCGCGTATTGAAAGTCCATTAAATTATTCGACCAAGATATTATCTCGTATGATCCAAAAGATGTGAGATGAACCAAATGAAATGAATCTTCACGTCGTAAAGTTAAAAGGATATTAATCATCAATGTTGCGAAATTTACACTTCGCTGTGAAAAACATCTCGATTATGCGATGCGATATATGATATACCATTCGATAAAAATATTTTCCCCGTACCGGCGCGATTCTCCGCGGTTCTTCGGCAGGTGAAGGAACGACGACAGCAAGGGGAAGGAAAGAAAAGAGTCTAGAGCGCGTCATCTCTCTCGTGACAGCGATTCGTCACGGGTGTTTCAACTCGAGGAAGAGTATCCCCGCGTCGCGGAGAGATCGCCGTCGAAAAACAACCGGGTGGTCGGCTCTCCTCACGATACATACACATGCACGCACGCACGCACGCATGCACGCACGCACGCACGCACGCACGCACGCACGCACGCACGCACGTACATACGCGTGCACGTACGCAGTACGTACTTTTTTCGCGGTCTGTGCCCCTTCTGTCCCCTTTTTCCCTCCCTCCTTTTGATACGGCGACGCGATATGCTTGCATGTATCATCGTTACACGCGATCCCGCATTCTCTTTCTCGCGCTCGCGCCGCTGCCGCCGCGCAGGGGAAATCTTTAATGCGACGCTCAAAGAGAAGCAGTAAATTACAAAGTAACGAGGCCAGACAAAGGAGAAGGACTAAGCGCCATTACGAGGTGTAGCACGTTTGACGCGCGCCGAGAAAAACAGCACCTGAAGGTGCAACTGAATTATTCCCGTTCTATTTATAAGGAAATCCTGGGAAAGATATTTCTAGCGATCTCGCCACTCGCGCGCGCGCGCGCGAAGTAGTTCATATTTTATATCTTGCGGCTAAACGAAGCGAAGTCCTCTTATTTTAAGCTACGCTGTAGCTTAAGAAGAACGCTCCAAACTTCAACGTCGTGTAGCTTACATGTGCGCGTTCTTCGCGTGTGAACATCGCCGATACTTGGCGCGCTCCTTACATAACCGCGTTTTAATTCGAGCGCTAATCGCACGCGCGCCTACGAGACGCAACGGCAATAAAACACGCCGCGTCAATCATCGGATAATAACGGACAATTATGTGGCAATTAAATCTTCTGCCCGGCGCGACGCATCGCCGTGAGCCGTACTGCCGCGCTGCAATTCGTCCGACTACATTGTCCGCGTGATTGTAATACACCACGACTGATTTTAATTACAAATTTTAATCGCGTTCCTTGCCTCGCGCGCCACCAACCACGTCTCCCTCCTCTCTCTCTCTCTCTCTCTCTCTCTCTCTCTCTCTCTCTCTCTCTCTCTCTCTCTCTCTCTCTCTCTCTCTCTCTCTCTCTCTTTCCTTCTCTCTGTCAGTCTCTCTTTCTGTCGTGACGTGACGTTGTTTCGGGCCTTCTGAGCCTACAGGAATAAATCTGACGACGGTCTAGTATACGGTAATTACAGCGACGATTATGGTCGGCCAATCTGTTGCGCAAACCCGGATAAGTCCGTGCGCGCGGTAATATGCTAATGTTTCGTACTCGTACTTATATATTTGTTTGAATCAGCCGACGTGTGTTGATGCGAACTCGGAGAGCCGTTTGGCGAACGACGATGCGACGGTGTTCGTCGCCCGCGCGTTAATCAGCCTCTATCGCCTTCTTCTCTAATACGTTCTAATCACATCCCGTTACAGCACACTTTTTTCTCCTCCGAGATACCACCGAGAGATGCTTTACAAGCATTCTTGCGCGAACACTCTGTCTCCTATTACGTTAATCACAAGTCGTTGGAAAAATGTTTCTCTTCCAAGACACTCTCTGCAAAACTGTTGTAAGCATCTTTACGACCGGCTTGTTCTCTAATACGTTAATCACGAGACGTTGAAAATTCTTCTTTCACCCGAGACAACACACGGGAATTTGAGAAACGTCTAATCCTCCGTTACGTCGGCCACATCTCATTAAAAGAAGCAATCCTTTTGAAAAAAAACATTGCAAAAATCTCACAAGCGTCCGAACGAACGCCTTCGGCTCTCCGCCGCGTTAATTAGCCGTTAAAAGACGTTATGAAAATTTTACGAGCACTCCGTGTGCAAACATCCGACTACAGATGCGTTTGCGCTCGATCGGCAGGAAGGGACGATTTCGCTCCGGTGTCGAAATAAAAGCAGGTAAAAATCCATCTTCTCTTTCACCTCTCCCCTCCCCCCCCCTCTCTCTCTCTCTCTGCGGCAGGTCCGGCACGCGCAGCCGCGCGTGATTATCCGTCGTAAGCGTCTGCTTACCGTGTTTCCGAGCCTAATCTACGCGGACGCTTCGCAGAAATCCATCGCAGAAATCGCGCCGGTCAACCCTCTCGCCGTCGACTAGGACGGATCGTGCTCGTGGCGGCGCGCGCGCACTAAGTCGGGGGGCCCCGGCTCTAACGCGGCCTAACAACAATGAAACCCCGAGAAAAACGATCCTCTCCGCCGCGGAGGGCACGGGCGGAGGAGGGCGGATGCCCCGATGGGTTTCTTCGCGCGGCGCTTAACGACGATTTCGATCGTTTACGACTTTAATAATTTAGGCGCGGCTCCGCGCTCGCGAGGCTCGACACGTTTTCGGTCGTAAACCGCGCGACTAAATCCGTATTTATGGGGAAGAGGAGGCAGAGAGTCCGGCACGGTCGTCTGCCTGCCTGTCCCCCGTTGTCCTCTCTCGCCGCCTCTCTTCTTCCTTTTCTCTCTCGCAGGCCATCGTGTGGCCGGCCAGCCGGCCGGCTGTCGTCGTGCCGCAGGACACGACGCGAAAGCACCGAAAAGGACCGTCCGGAGGAGCCTCGACCGACCCTCTCGTGCCTCTAACGACTGATCGATCCGGCTTTGTCGCACGAAAAACCATGCGCCCCCCTTACCCCGCGGTCTGACATTTTTGCACTCGTAGGCGCTTAAGAAAGAGAGAGAGAGAGAGAGAGGGGGGGAGAGAGAGAGAGAGAGAGAGAGGGAGGGAGGGAGGGAGAGAAAGAGAGAACGGGTGCATCTGTCGACAGAGGAGGACAGGGCTCGAGAGGGGCGCAGGCAGGCCATTTGCATTCATTAATCAGCACGCGATTCATTAATCAAAAGCGGGGAGCGCGAGTTGCGCAAGGCGCGTCGATCGCGTTGCGCGGGCTCCGCGTTTGGCGGCTTCGACGCGCGGGAGTTACGGGAGGATCGGCCGTTAATTAATTTGTCGGCCGACTGCGACCCGCGTTTAACTAGCATCGCGCCGCCCCGCCGCTGCGCCGTGAGCTGCGCGAGAGCGCTCGATCGACCGATCGATCGATCGATATTATTAACGCTGGTTGTTTTGTAACATCGCTAATGCGAACGCGAGCGCGAGACGAGAACGAACGCGTCGAGTTACTAATAATTTGCCGATCCGACCGGCGAAGAGCGCGAGGATGTTCGGCCGGTTTTTGCACACAGTGGCCGCGAATGCGGATGCGGGGAGGATTGAGAGAGGGAGGGGGGAGGAGAGCGCGTGCTCACTAATAGCGCGAGCGCGAGGAAAAAGGCGAGTACGCGAACGATTCCTCCGAGCGGTGATCGTGCCGAGGATTTTACGGTCTCGCCAATGCCCGCGCCCGCGCGAGGACGCCGGAGCTGTAAATTGAAATTCATCGAGCGGATTATAGATGCACATAGTGCGGCCGGTCTTTCACAATATTCGAACGGGACTTTCGGTCCGCGGCGTACGAGATTTACGGAGCCCGTCTAAGAGAGAGACTCGGCGAGCCCGACCTGCGCTCCCGTTTTTGCGTCGCGCGAGATTCATAACAGCATCTCTCTCTCTCTCTCTCTCTCTCTCTCTCTCTCTCTCTCTCTCGCTCTTCCACGTTCGGTTATGGTAGATCAGCGGCGAGTTTAATTATCGCGGTCACTCTCGCGGTAATGCGAACGTCGTAAAACGTCAAGCTCATAGATCCCGGGCGTGAGGCATCTGCCGACCGGATGTCCAGGCGATATCGGTGCTCATATAACGGAATCATTAACCGGCAGAGGCGAGGAGAGGCTCTCGTGCGCATACATCTTGCGCGCGTCGTTGACTCGCCGGCTCTAAAGAGCGAGTGAAATTTTCGCGATCACGACCGGCCGGCCGAGAGAATCGGACGTCTGCTCCGTTGAGAGGGAGAGATCCGCTCGGCTCGATGGCGCATGCGACCAAAGATAGCCAGCTGCGTGCTGCGAGGGTGGAGAGAGAGAGAGAGAGAGAGAGAGAGAGAGAGAGAGAGAGAGAGAGAGATACAAAGCCGATAAAACGCTCATAGCGCGGAATCCGACAGCCGCGGGGTCGTTAATGTTGGAGCGAGCGCGCGCGCGGGTGCGCGGAGGGGAGCTGTTAAACATTTCGGTGACGCATCCGGTATCCGGAGTTACGGCATTCGCGCGTGTATAATTAGCTGCGTTCGCGGGCGAGAACGAGGGGCCGCGGGCGAAACGAGAAGACCCCCTGGCGCTCGCGCACGCGCGCGCGCGCGACACATTTTATTGCGCGCGCCTTCGCCGTATTAATCGGCCGTGCTCGACTTACCGAGGACGCAGACAGTAGAAATCATCTACGCTCCTTCGGGCCCCCTCACGTCCTGCAACAGAAAGATCACGCCGGCGATTAGTAGAGCCAAACGTACCGCAGATCTCGAGTCGCACGTGGAAATATGTCGGCGGCTCCGATCGCGCTGAGAAAAAGACCCGTTATAACAAATGAACGTTCGCTGTTTGATAATTGTATACAGATCAAAACAGTAGCCGCGACAAATCATTTTTCGTTACTCGCAATTTTAACAAATATACATTGTTATTTTGTGTATGCGGTGGCCCTTATTCCGCTGCAAGCAGCATTTTTCCCGCGTCGTTTAAATAAAATGCATTCTGCTCATGTATCATCTTTAAAGAAGAAAGAAGTTTCGTCTGCAAGTAACAAGAACAAAGTTTCTATATCTATACATAAAATTTAAGGATTTATATTTCTAAATCTGGATTTTGCGATGCTTGATTACTTATGGGTACTTCTTATTCACGCGTGAATGACACGAAAACTTTTAATTCGGAATGTCCAAAGTAACCAAATGACTGAAGACCACTTGGGGAATGAGAATGACGGCGATGAGGGAAAAAATCGCACGACCTCGAGAAAAATCAGCTTGGCGCGCAACGTACGAGCGAGCGTTTATTCGTGCTAATTCAACGAACGAAATACGAGCGTGCGAGACGCGAGTCTTCATTAGAAGCCGAATCGACAGGCCGAAACACCTAATTACGAGACGACAATTAATCAGACCGCAACAATGTAGAGACGGCGGGGCCCACAATGCGCATCGCGAGACAATACAGCACCTCGAGGGGCCCGTCTTTCTTTCTCTCTCTCTCTCTCTCTCTCTCTCTCTCTCTCTCTCTCTCTCTCTCTCTCTCTCTCTCTCTCTCTCTAATCGCGCTCTCATACGAGTGTTGCGGCGAGAAAAATGCCCCGAGTCCTTTCTCGTAGCTCCTCTCGAACAGCCGCGCGTACGCAACAATGGACGCCGGACGAAACAACGGATAACCTCCCGTCTTAATCAGCATAATTTCCGTCGCACGAACGTCCGTCGGCCGTAGAAGACGGAAGATCGTCGCCCTGACGCCGGACACCGAGCAGGAAGAGCGACGACGGGAGGGCGCGAGAGCGCGAGGGCGAGGACGAGGGCGAGGGCGAAGGCGGCCGGGAGGAAGAGAGCGTGACGTGACGTGCCGGCGGCGCAATTAAAGCGACATTAATTAATTGTTAGCATAACAATGCGGCCGCCGACGGCAGGGACGCAGCGAGCGCGCGCGCAAAGGCGGGCAAACGTAGGGCCCCGGGGCCTTCATAAATTTACATGTCCTTCGCCGCGAGAATCATTTCTTTTCTTTACAGCCGTTAAGACGCGACGCGTGGACGAGGGACGGTCGGGGCAGGGGGAGGGCTCGCGCGGACCTACAGCAACGCAACGGCCATATTACGGGTCCCCATGGTGTTGTCCATAATAACCATCGATGTCTCTCCCCGGGCGCGGAAGGTGCCCCCGAGGTCCGACCTCGTTATCCGCCGCGCGTCTCGATCGGGATATTTTTTAAGCTTTACGGCCCGGCCGGTAATTCTCGCTCTGCTTCGAGACAGAACGAACCTCCCTCGGAACCTCCCCTATATATGTATAATGCGGCGGAGCGAGCGGCTGCGCTTGTCCGCGCATGACAGATTGTTTAAGTATTTCGGTCGTATAGTCGCTCTCCGTGGTTATTTTTTCCTACGACCTGTGGCGATCGCAGCGGCTTTTCTTAACGAATCGGCTAAAACGGGTCCTCGCGCGTCGCTTCTACGAAAAGATATAAATAAATTAAAGTCTTCTCATCAATTAGAAAAATATTGGAGTCTCAAATGCCCGAGCTTTTCAACAATTTTGATTTTCTGCACTTAACACACACGTTATTGAATCATCATTTATTCCCATGATGAAATCATTTAAAATAAACACTGCATCTTGCTATTAATATAGTGTGATTTATAACTCGAAATAATCTTTCATTACTCGCTAATGGCAATTTTTACACGTATCAATATATAATTATTTCATCGAAGGACGCAACGCATAGAAGCGCTTAGCATGTAAGAGTGAGTAATTCTACGTGGTAAGTACTTGACGTACCGAAAAGGTTAAGCTCGCAGCCGAGGTGCGAATCCTGTCGAAAAAATGCGTAGACTTTGCTCAAGGTCTGCTCGGAGGAATCGCGCATCCCCGAAGGGCTGGAAAGTGTCGGGACGATCGAAACGCGCAGCCTCGGCCGCACGATAGACACGCGCATGAAATGGCAAAGCGAAGTGACAAAAGGTGGTGAGAGAAAAAAAGACGAACAACGAAATGTTCGCAGCGCGATATGCGAGCTAGCCGAAGTCCGTGGGACTTAATTTTAGACGACGAGGAAATTCGCTCTATTTTTCGCGTAATAAATGCGACTTGCTCGACGGCCGGCGCGTCGCTTCGGTTACCGCGAGAGGCGGACGGTTATTTCCGTCGATACGATACATTCCCGCGAAATCTGAGAAAAAAAGAGAAAAAGAAGAAGCGCCTGGCGCAACGACGCTCTCGCGAGCGATCGGCCGAGCGATTTCTCGCTGCGTTAAAAGAGATACGCGATCGTAACGTGAGACGAGACGTGGGCGGGTGGTAGTTTAACGCGCGAATGCCTTTGGACAGTTATTTTTAATGTCGTCCAGCGCCGGGGGAGAGAGAGAGAGAGAGAGAGAGAGAGACAAAGACAGGAATGCACATCATCGTGCGTTACGGAGATGCCGGCGAAACAAATCGTGCGGATCTCGCCGCTAGTTCGTTAAAGTTAGAACGATTCGGTCTCGGACGAGAGAGAGAGAGAGATCGATGAGAGAGGCACAGTTCTCGGATTCAGATGAAGACGCGGCCGAGCGAGAGACGTCATGTCTTCTACGCACGCTTGATCCTTCAATCGACGTGTCGCGTAATGTGTCGTCGTTCTGAAGAACGACACATTACAGAAGAAGAAAAAGGAGCAAGTGTCTAAAAACGCGATTCTCGAGCGAGAGAAAATGAGAAAATTCTTCGAGAGAGAGAGAGAGAGAGAGAGAGAGAGAGAGAGAGAGAGAGAAAGAGAGAGAGAGAGAGTCGCTGATGAAATTATAGTTAGGACAGACGTATTTAAAGAAGGCTACCGTGTGTTCGCCCCCCCCCTCTCCCCGCCAAGGCGTCACGTCGTCCTCCTCGATTTCGCAAAATTCCACGTGAGAGGAAATTTATGGTCACTTAGGTGAAACGAGGGACGCGTATTCGAGGCTCCACAGCGCATTCCTCCTTTCGGCCGGCAGAGAAAGAATCGGTTTGGTAATTAATATCTCAGCACGCTAATGCGCACAGGACTCCCGAACGTTGACGATTCATCCCGAGCTGCGCGCGAGGTCGGGCTCCTCCATCCGGAGAATGCCGGACGCGACGCCGTCGTACAACCGGCAGTTTAGTCCGCGCGCGCGCGCGAGATATACAGCCGGCGAAATTAATTTCCCAAATTCAACCGCGGTGACATCATCCACGATATAATGTATGCATCCACGAAACGTCATTAATCGTTCTTTCTTATGGTAATTCGTGCCGCATAAATAAAGCCGTTGTTATTAACGGTCCGAAATGCCGGCGCGCGATTAGCCGACAGACGCTGCATTACGCCTGTCGGCGATAAAATAACACCACCACCACTACCACCACCACCTCCATCACCACCGCCGCCGCCATCACCAGCAGCACCACCGCGGCCGCGGCTGCTAGTAAAAAACCGCGGCAGCGACATGTTAGTAGCGAAGCCTTTATCATCGCTTTTACGATACACCTCTCGGCCGTTCGTCGCGCACCCTCGCGCGCTATTCGGTGCTCTCAAAAACTTCATTCCGCAGTTTCCAAGATTTCACGATCTCTTCCTCTCCGCCCCTCTATCTCTCTCTCTCCTCTCTCTCTCTCTCTCTCTCTCTCTCTCTCTCTGTCTCTCTTTCCCAAGCACGCTCGCTGGTTTCCTTTCTCTTTTTCGTATTCCCCGCCGCCACCCCCGCCTCACTAGACGTATTTTATTCGCGATGTTCTGCATTATCATCGCACACACGCGTTCACGGGCAAGAGGGGGAGAGAATGTCCATGGTGGCGTTCGCGTGTACGTGTCGAGTAGAAACACAGTGACGAGCGCGTGGGCGAAACGAGCAACCGAAGCGCACAAAGTGGACGCATCTCGCCTCGCCTCGAATTAATAAACAGCAACGAATGACCGCCTACGTCCGCCGCCCCTCTCTCTCAGCATTCTCTCTCTCTCTCTCTCTCTCTCTCTCTCTCTCTCTCTCTCTCTGTCTCTCTCTCTGTCTTTCTCCCCCGACGAGCCGATTTCATCGTGCTGGTAGTCGATCCGCTAAAGCTACAGCTTCCTGCCCTCTCGTCAGCGGGAGGTTTCACCCCCTCTGCTCACCGTCGAATCCGCCGGAATCCACCAACACTCGCGGACCGCCCGCGGTGAACCCCTCCGGAGACTCCTGGATCTCTCGCGAATGAAGAGGACGACGACGACGATCGTTACCGATCTCCCCGCTGATGGCCGTTCGATTCCGCGAGAGCGTCGTAAACTCGCGACGCGAGTCGCCGCGGGAAACGCGCGACGTTGCTTCTCTTGGCGCGGAGGATTTTTTTCGCTCCAGGATCTGGGAGGTTGTCACGCCATGAGCGATTTTGAAAAACGCGAGGGACTCTCTCGCGTGTCGAGCGAATTCCGCGAGTTCCCTCTTCACAGTTGAATTTCTGTACTTTCGGGGTTTTCAAATTTCTGAGTCATTAAGAGTCGCTGAATCACCGACTTGAAAAATTACTGAAACAGACCGAGTCGAATCGCGACGTTTTTGCGCGAAGCAAACGAGATGGGCGGTCGTTTCACGTTCGTCGAAAAAGTTCCCCATCTGTTCGATCCGATCGAGCCGGATCGCGGGCAGTTTCCCAGCGTCGCCGCTTCCTGTAAAATTGGTCGCGCCGACGGACGTGTGTGCGTTACGCGTCCCATCGTCGTCCATTAGTCG